GTTTAAAACTTCATAAGAGTCTATCAAGTCGGAAATTATCTAAATGAATAAATAACGATTCCCATGTTAGTTTATCGGCTTTGTGGGATTATTAAGTCACTACTAATTTTCCACTGGAAACAAGGTTATAAATAGGGTATTGGTTATAGTGGATATATGTCGAAAACAAATCTCTCCTTATTAGGAGGGTAAACCAGCAATATGATTTTAAAATCCGTACCTATTCATACAATCGTGGTTCCAAGTATGCTATTCAAATAAATACTGTTGCACTCACTGATCTCTAGCAAATATAGTATTCGTTTTTTGAAAATAAATCCGTACTTATTGTAGAAAGTGACTTCAGAGCAGAGTACATCAATCTATACTTCATTAGTAAGTTATGTCTTCATTAAACCAGACCTCATCAGTGCATCTCACTTTTTATTAATGTGTCTCGCAAAACAGCTATACCAACTAACATGCGGATTCACATTTTATCGGCATATTATTACAGACATGCGTTCTCTAAATATTGCAGATGAATCCCTCATGCGCACTCGTTCTTCATTTCTATTGACTCCGTTTATTAATATTGAGTTTCCACTGTATGATGAAGCTTTTATCTTGCACCGTTCTCATCCTTTAGTACATCTACTTGGGAGTTACCCGGTTCTTCCTCTTCGGAGCCCGAAGAACAAAATCCTGTTCAACAACATAAAACACCCAAAGAATCTGTTACACTACCTTCATCAATGTCACATATTCCTGGGTGGTTGACTGACTACTTTCTGGGTCTTGCTCCTGAAAAGAGGCTTCCTGTCTTTGAGGCATGGAAACATCACACTATCCATGGGCTCTGTTGTCCTTTATCGTGGATGCATAGAAATTGTATTGCAGGTTTTGCTGTTTCTGCTGCATTACATTACCTAAAATGCCCTTACTGTGCAAATAGAGAAATATTCATCAGGTCTATCATCGATACTGGTATATGGGTCCCAGATCAGTAAGTCATAGTATTATGTCCTTTCTTGTTTATCTAACTAAATTTTGTACTTACTTGATAGTGCTATCTACATACAAACCTTTAGATACGTTTTTCAAGGTTACTGTAAATAATATCCGGTTTCAAGTCGCTTATTCACACATGATTTAGTTAACAAATCTGATTTCAAATAGCGAATTTGTAGCAAAATATGACTGATGTTCATCTAAAATTCCATAAATACTGAAGATTTAGTGGCTACACCTTCTTCTTGTTTTTTTATATCAACGGTTTAGGAGTGCAGTTAAGCTGTGAGCAGCGAGATTGACTGAGGTATTAGGTAGAATTTGGGAACTGAACGTAATCCCATCTGACTGGTCTCAATCACTGATTGTGCCAGTCTATAAAAAAGGACAAAAGTCCTCTTGTGACAATCACAGAGGAATCAGTTTGACTAATATAGTGTCTAAAATATTAGCTTCAATAATACTTCGACGCCTAACTAAAGCTCGTGAAGAGCAGACTAGAGAAAACCAGGCTGGTTTTCGACCTGGACGTGGTTGTATAGACCAGATATTCACTCTACGTCAGGTTCTAGAACACAGACACACGTTCAGACGCCCCACAATAGTAGTATTTCTCGACCTTATGGCGGCATTCGACTCTGTTGATCGTAAGGTTCTATGGCAGTGTTTGTCACTGAAAGGAGTACCAAAGAAGTACATTAACCTTGTAAAGGCTCTCTACTCGAACACAACTGGTCGAGTGAGAGCTTATGACGAACTGTCATCAGAATTGATTACCTCAAGTGATGTTCGTTAGGGTTGTCTAAATTGTTGTTGCTTAAATTTGTCGTAGAAATGCTTTTCGAAATAACACTTTCCTCATCTGAATTTCCAAGGGTTGAAATTCTACCGGGAGATCCACTTGTCGACTTAGAATATGCCGATGACAGTTCTATTTGGTGAAAACACTGACAAAATGCAGTCTTCTGACCACTCCAAGCAACAATGTAAGCATGTTCGGGATGCGATTCTCCCCCTCGAAATGCAAAATGTTGCTTCGGGATTGGGTTGCATTGACACCCGAACTAATGACAGGGAGTGAAGTAATTGAGCGTGTCGATCGCTTCACTTATCTTGGAAGTCTCATCAGTCCTTGTGGTCTGGCGTGTGACGAAATCTCAGCACGGATACAGAAGGCTCGACTAGCTTTTGCCAACTTGCGTCCCAGATCTTAGCTAAAATATTAGTCAACCAATTTTAGCGATTAGGTTGACTAATATTTTAGCTAAGATCTGGGAGTTAGACGTTATTCCATCCTACTGGTCACAATCACTTATCGTCCCAATATATAAGAGAGGGTTAAAATCATCCTGTGACAACCATAGAGGGATTAGTTTAACGAATATAGTATCTAAAATACTAGCCTCGATAATTATCAGACGCCTAACTAAGAATTGTGAACTGCAAACACGAGAGAATGAAGCTGGCTTCAGACCTGATCGTGGCTGCATCGACAATGGTTGTCTTTCTTGACTTAAAAGCAGCATTTGACTCCGTAGACCGTGAGATTCTGTGGCAGTGTCTGTCATTGAAAGGCGTACCTTAGAAGTACATAAACCTTGTGAAGGCTCTTTACTCGAACACTACTAATTGAGTGAAAGTTTATGGCGAACTGTCATCTTGTTTTGCAACCTCAAGTGGTGTCCGTCAAGACTGTCCACTTTCTCTACTTTTGTTTGGCTTCATCATAGACCTATTGATGGAAATAACATTCTGGTCGACTGAATTCTCGGGTATTTATCTCCCTCCAGGAGGTCCACTTATCGACTTAAAATACACAGATGACATAGTCCTGTTTGGTGAAGACGCTGACAAAATGCAGAGTCTTTTGGTAGCACTAAGCAACAATGCCAGAATGTTTGGAATGCGCTTCTCTCCCTCTAAATGCAAGCTGCTGCTTCAGGACTGGTCTGCGTCAACACCTGATCTAAGGATAGGGAGTGAAGTAGTCGAACGCGTTGACAGCTTCACTTATCTTGGAAGTCTGATCAGCCCTATTGGGTTGGTGTCTGACGAAATCTCAGCACGGATTCGAAAAGCTCGTTTGACTTTTGCCAACTTATGTCACCTATGGCGAAAGCGAAATATCCGTCTATCAATAAACGGACGAGTATACTGCGCGGCAGTCCGTTCTGTTTTCAATTTACGGCAGCGAAATATGGCCATTAAGAGTAGAGGATACTCGTAAGCTACTAGGAATATTGCTGGCGCCTGCTGGGATAATCGGGTAAGTAATTTTGAGGTTAGACGCAGGGTATTAGGGAATGATGGTAAATCAGTTGATGGGGTTGTGAATCTTCATCGACTGAGATAGTTGGGTCACGTGTTACATATGCCCGAACACCGATTACCACGACGTGCAATTCTAACCGGTGTTCGGGATGGTTGGAAGAAAGTTAGGGGGGGCCAAACCAAAACGTGGCATCAGTGCTTGAAGTCACTAACTTCTAGTCTGAGCCATGTTGGTAGATGCAGACTACTTGGTTGGGGTCCGCGTGACTATCGTAACCAATGGTTGGAAACTGTGGTCAACATAGCTCAGAATCGATCACAATGGCGTCGGTGTATACACTCATTATCTTCCCTTAAACTAAGAGACTAAAATCGCTTCATATCTTTCTATTAACTAATTCTTTCTTCCTGTACTATGTCCTTATCGCAATCTTTCTTTTTATATATTACCACCTCTGAATTAAATACTTTTATGAATCCGGTGTCCATCTTGTTGTGTTAATGAGGTATGGCAACTTGGACCGATGCATATATGTGCCTGGTCCTACGTTGTAGCTGACTGACTGACTGTCATTTATGGTGCAGGCGAGATATCCGTGTACCAACCAAAGGATGGATTTACTGCGCATCAGTTCGTTCCGTCCTACTTTATGGCAGTGAAACATGGCCGGTAAGAGTAGAGGATACTCGAAGGTTACTATTATTCGATCATACGTGTCTTCGAAACATTGCTCGTATATCCTGGAACCACCGAGTAAGTAACTCAGTTGTTAGGAAACGGGTACTAGGTAAGGATGGCGAGTCAATTGATGAAGTAGTAAAACATCATCAGTTGAGATGGCTGGGACACGTGTTACTTATGCCCAACCACCGACTGTACCGACGTGCGATGTTTTATGATGTAGGAGTAGGTTGGGAGAGAGCTAGGGGCGATCAGACTAAAACATGGCACAAGTCCATGAAGTTATTGGCAAGTAGATTGAGCCATGTTGGTAGGTATAAACTACCTGGTTGGGAACCGCGAAACGATAGCATTGATGGTTAGAAACATTGAAAAACAATGCTCAAAATCGTTTGCAATGGCGCAGGTGCATCCACTCTTTGTGCTCTCCCAAATTTTAATCTTCTGAATTCTTCATGTCCCTTATTTTTTCTCTTTCCAAATTTATTTAACTGGATTATACTCCTTGAATAACATGTTCAAAGCCTAATCTTTACGGTTACCGCCTATACTTTTACTACCTCTATTCATATGGGATTTGAATCGATTTGCATCTCTGTGCAAATGTGGTATGGCGACTCGAACTGATGTACGTATGTACGAAGTTCTACGTTGTTACTGACTGACTAAGCTGTGAAATTATTTCTAGAACTAGGATTTTAATGGTAATTTACAAACCTGACTGCTAGCGATGTACGGAAACCATGACCAGATTGTCCTTAATCTAAGAAGTTTAAAGAGGATACTGCAGCATAATGGTTTTTTCACGGTCATTATAAATGATAGGCATTTTCATCAATGCGAAACGTAATTTGTACATAGTGACGATGACAACTACTTAACAATCCCTAATAGATTCAAGACACATGCTATCTATCCATTTTCAGTGAAACTTTGTCCCGATTATGAGTGATCCTAGATTCCTTGGTACATTCAAGGGTTTTGCTTCGTTAATCGATCACCTCAATAACCGTTGTATTATAAATCTCAACGGTGTTTGAAATCAGAAGGCAATGAATATCGGCAACTACAGTTTATTAGCGAATATTGCAAATCACAAAGTTCTAAACACATCAAGCGAATTTGAAGCAGAGAGGCGATTAAATATATATGAGCAAACACAGGCAAATTTGTAGTCAACTCGCACAAGGGCGCAGCAAAAGTTAATAATAAGATTTGAGTACATATATACATGGAGAGGAAGATGAATCATCGAGCAACATTTATGATATTAACATTTTAGCTAGAGTGTCATATGATCTAGTGATCATAACGGTACAAAGAAATATGCGGATCGCTACTGCTGTAATAACATTGTCTGTTAAGTAAGTTAATAAAAGGGCTTAACAAAAACTAAACATAATCGAAATTGGTTGTAGGGCTGTTGCTATAATTGAATTTGTAAACCCGACTAGCTCGTTTCGTATTTTTTTGTCGACTAAACATAAATCTATCCTCTGTGCAAAAGTTCCAAACATCCTTCAAAAACTACAATCAGTTGTAGTCCACACAGCCTGGCACAAATGCGCAGTAAACAAATTCAACATACAACAGCCCATCGAGAATATTTTCCAAAAAAGGATAAATAAGAGGAATAAATAGTTATTTAAGCTCAAATTTTAAGGGGAAGATAAGTGAATCCATATACACATAAGTCCCATTTAAACATAAAAAATACGAACTTCCAGAAACGGATCCGTTTTCAGAGAGTTTATCATCAAGATATACAATCATACATTTATATGATATTTTAAGTATTCATTCAATGAACAGACATGATGATTTTATAAGATTACAATACTGGATCGTATAATGTAAATAATAACACTCAAGGATTGTGTGCGCATAAAGAGCCGTGGAGAATTGATTAGTTGACACTGACTGTAATTTGAATGAAGTAAGATAATTAAACATTGTTACAATAATACGAAATCAATGGAACGAAAACAAAGTAATAAAATAATAATGATAGTTTGAAGCCATTGTACGGACAGCGATGATGAGTACTTGTTTTATGCACACTGTTCAGACTTCATTTCACAGATAACAAGAGCTGGTGTTTTATGGAGTTTAATACAAAAAATCTTGTTAGATTTAGATGGATTATACCGGCAACCCCGATCAACCTGTAGATCATTGGAGTGATTAGAACAGATTATATGTTCAAGGATGTTACTCCTAACCGCTTTCCTCTTACATTTGTAGATCCACACTGGAATATGCTTTTGTATCTGAGTTGGGAAAAACCTCTGGCTACGGCTCGTATACCTTGTTGCACAAGAATAAGTGAACTGTTAGGTGCACATTGAGGCGACCAAGCAAGGGAGGTTATCCTTCACAGATACGAAAAACGAATCTCTGCTGGTGAATGCTAATCGCCATTTCCTGGTTTGTTCGCTCGTTGTCTTCTCTAAACCTATTCCTTGTCAACGTTGAACTTTAAAGCGGTCGGACATATGCGAATTTTTCGCCGCCATTCCAACCAACAAAGTTTTGCTACCTCATCAACTTGACGTTGCCTCCTAGTACCTCATACCTGATCTCAGCATTTTTCACTGTTGTTTTACGACAAACGACCAATGCCTCGATTTTATGACAAACCTGCAGCCTATACATCTTTGTTTCTGTAGACCGCGTTTCACAGTGGACTTCTTTCCCTCTTTGAGGAACACCTACATTACAAGTTAGCTTTCTGATTCCATCCCTGTGGATGAATTAGTGTTCCAATCAAAACTAATTGTGCGTAGAACATTAGATGAATGCAAAAATTTATGTAATTTTGAGGTTTCAGTGAATAGTGGTTGAGACGTTTCATAAACTATAAAGCTTCTTACATTACTGTGTCTTACCTCCTGGAACAGAATTTTAATGGAAATTTTTCAAAGTAGTTTAATCGTGAGGTGACATTCATTCATTTTGGCTTTACAGATAGTGCTACCAACAAAAAACACTATTTCGTTACGTTAAGTCAGTTGCTTTGGTACGAATATATCTAAGTACTGAGTACCTCACTATGTCATATCTTGAGGATCAGTAAGTGGTGTTTTATTTTGTTGATGGACTTATGAAGATAACGCCTTTTACCAAGGTAATACGTTGTATTTTTATTTATTCAAAGGGATGCAGCCTGGGAATTGGAACCAGGGGCTTATGCAGATCTTGTTCCCATTAGCGAATGTTCCTCTAATGATGAATCACAAAGTAACGACACATCCACTTCATCATCTCAGTGTGATTGCAATCGGTGGAGCCAAAAAAATGTCAGCCATGCGGCGCACGTTACACAGACTGCGGGTGTACGAGTTGAGTATGCATCATCCAGTGGATCACCGTCTACAGATCAGGAGCGTGTTCCAGTACTCTCACTTATATGGAACAACCAAAACTTCAAAAAACGTCGTGGAAGAAAGCCTTCGTCTAGACGTTGGACGCAAATATCTCAAGCCGTTCCAAATACACCTGGACCAACTCGTGTTTCTCGTAGGCACACGTCCATTACAACACGAATTATTCAGGATGATCACTCTCCTAATAGTGCTTTAAATGAGAGCAGACTACGTCAAGTAACCTTAGGATCTTTTCTTTCTGTTAGGACTCAGACTTCCCGGTAACTCCTTTTGCACTTCAGATTTTCTTAGTTTGTTTCTATTTCCTAAATCTCTGACATTAAAAATTTGAAAATTGAATCTGTACATACAAAAAATTCTATTTGTTTTAATAGATTCTTTTTTATGAAAACAGTAGGGTAGGTGATTTATGCATCATTTTATCGTTGTTAGTGCTTATGAATCTTTTAGGACTTAATGAAATACCATCAGTTTGGCAAACACGATTGTTTTGTAAGATTATATGGTAATTTTGTATTGATTACTTTTATTATGCTTTCCTCAAAGGCCTCAATGTCCGTACAGTTATAAATTTAAGGACTGAATTTTATTTGGAATCCTTTTATTTTACGAAGTAATAAGCTGTGGTGGGGACAATTGAACTTTTTTAATCATTCAAGTATGATTAGGTAGGATAAAACTACTTTTGTAAACATTGGTTTATTTATTGAGTCTAAATTAGAACTTACGCATTTTACATTATCCATTTATTTAAGCGCACAAAATATAGTATAACCGCCAGAGATAGAGTGACTACACAAAATGTGGGTAAGATCGTAAGGAAAAGGAAGTACATTTAAAAGAAAAGTATAGTCAACAAAATAATTAATAAGAACGGTATGTGGTAAAAGATATAGTTCAGTCAGTAGCACACACACGGGAATTCGGAATTCCTGTAGTTATATACTCCTTTCGTTTATGAAGAAAATCGCAGCAGGATCGCCGTTCGTCTCTGAAACTCCAACCAAGGAGTCGCAATCGACTAAGATGTTAATCCTATACTGACTTTCTCATTACGGTGCCAAGCTATAAACTGAGTACCGCTTTTTTCAACCACTTCTAGTGTCGGTAATCAAAGTGCGCTGGGGTGACATTCGTAACACTTTCAAGTCACCGAATCCGGTTTTTAGGGGTTGGTGACATCAAGTGAGTTTTCATCGCACTACTAATGTGTTGCAACTGAATGTTAGCAATCCCTCGGAGATGACGATAATCAGACACAGAGTCATCCGGCTCCCTAACTCGGAGATGTTAGACTTTCTAAACATAGGACGAAACTGTTCTCACAGACGCGTTCAAGGCCTGACGTTTTGTAGTCGAACTAAAATCACGATGACTTCAAAAATGTCCAAGATTGGCATAAATCCTAATCTCTTTAGTCAAACAACTACCAACACAAATCTACCTAGATACCGGAACTTCCAATTACTTAACACCAAGAGTGAGTGCAGACAGGCTCATGCCAGTCTTGTAGAAGTACCTTTTACTTAGGAGGTACAAGGTTCATACAGTACCTGAGGACACTGGTTGTCGACCCATTAAATGCAATTTGTATAACTTTGGTATCATTGCACGTCAAGACAATATTGTCTGCATACTCAAGATAGAAAAGTCTTTCTTCGAGTAACAAATCTACACCACACCTACCTACTTCCATCAGGTGTTTCCAGTATGCGGTCGATGGGAAAGTTGACTGGATAATCCTGTCTAACCCCACTGCTTAGAACGGAGAGATGGTTGTTTGCCCTCGCTCTGCCTGAGGTGTTGATATATAGAAACTTCGAATTGTTCATAAACTTTTCCAACACATGCTTCGACAAAATAGCACAGTTATGTCTTGATATCAAGAAACATAACGGTCTTTGGTCCTCATGTATGATGCTCTAACGTTTGGTGGAAGGTAAATACATAATCAATACTTCTATGGCTAGAACGAGCATTCTCAACGCGAATCAATCTCCCTCCGGAACTATCTGCAGAATATGATAGAAGCTAATAGTTCGGACACGGTCGGAAGTATATTTATACCGCCTAAAATTGTTGCCTAGATAACGTATACCCTGTTTATAAATAAGGACTGTCGCTTCATTTTAAAATAATAGATTCCGAAGTTTGCTACCACCCTTAGGAAGAGTCGGAGGTAAATTGTCTTGGTTTCTGTGAACCTCCGTCTCGTTAGCCGGATTGGCTGTAACTGGTCATGGGCTGAGCAAACTGGTTGACGTTGCCGCCACAGTAGATTAGTTGGTTTGTTCCTCGAAGAACCCCGTCCCCTTTGTTAATTAAAGTGTTGAAGTAAATTAGGCATCATATTCGCGCTGAATAAAAGTATACTCATTATGAAGTACCTGTGTAAATCTACGTCATAGCAGTTACTTGGTCATTTAAGTTATCTCAAACTTACTGCTCATATGGAATACTCAGAGGTTGTATAATTTATGATACCACAGGTATTTTGTATTTATCGAAAAAGAGTTTAATTTAATAATGAATAAGTTCAGAATAGATTTCAGAAATAGCTAGGAAAGTTATTTAACCGTGAAAGTGATATCTGAAAGGCTGTGGAACCAGCAGTGTTCGTCAGGGTTTATCCACTTTCCCCAATTTTACTTTTGTAATAGACATGCTTTTAGATATAACACTTTCATCGTCTGACATTTCTTTAGTTGATCTTCCATCAGGAGATCCACTTGTTGACGCAAGTGATATAGTTCTGTTCGGTAAAGACGCTGACGAAATGTAGTCTTCCGACCACCTTAAGCAACAATGAAAACATGTTTAAGATGCGGTCTACCTATCCAAATGCAAAATGCAAAAGATGAACTTGCGTCAACGCCCAAATTAATAGTAGAGAGTGAAGTGGTCGAACCCACTTACCGCTTCAGTTATTTGGAGTTTCTTTAGTTCTGACATTTGACGAAATGCCGACCAGCTTTTGTCAACGTGGGTCACCGGTGGCATGGGCGAGATATCCGTCTCATGATCAGTCTACCTTGTTCTATTTTATGGATGCGTTCATTAAGAATAGAGGATATGCGTGGGTTACTGGCATTCGCCCATAGGTGTCGTCGACGAAGCACTCATGTACTTTGGAACCACGGAGCAATCAATGTGTAGACTAGGGATAAGGTACTAGGTAAGGACGGCAAGTCGATTGCAGGTGATCTTAACGTATCTCCAATCACTGCCTATCTCGACGGGCGATATTGTTTGGTGTAGGAGTAGGCTGAAAGGAAACCAAGAGCGGCAAGACACGGCTTTGGTCCACGATAGTTGGACTGAGCAATGGTAAGAAGTGTAGGCTACCAAGAATAACATTGTTCAAAATCGTTTGCAATGACGCACACGAATACACTCTGTGTCTTTCCCCGAATTCTAAGCTTTTGAATTGCCCATAAAATTTGTTTTTATTCCATTAATTTATATTCCCTCGAATCGTATTTTCGATGCCTAATCTTTCCTATTACCACCGATACTATTGTTACCCCTAGTATTACGGGATTCGACCTGACAATTTCATCTCTCTGTGCTAACGGGATGTTGGAACTTGGGTCAATGTACATACATACCAGGTTCTGTTGTGACTGACTTAGTATTTATTAGTTTTGTTTATCACGTTTAATAAGTCATAATACAGTGCAAGTTATTAGTATGATGGCAATTAATTGTGAACAATAACATTGTCAGTCATTAAATTAATCGACATCTTTCCAAAAAAGGTTTCTACTAATATTAAAGGTGTATCTTATGGGTCTTGAAGCTTACTAATACCTCCACAATATCAATTTATTGGTGCCATATTGTCAGAATTTACATGCTATAAATGCTTTTAGTTAAGATTTAGTTGTCACGAGTCATATTGCGGGATAGTTAACTGTCTTCCTAGTTAAAGTGATATATATGCGATCTGATGAATTGCTTTAAATGGAGCATTTTCATTCCTAATTTGGTTTTTATAGTTAGGGAAAAGCTAGTTTTTTTTTCGGTTCAATAACCTGATTTTAGTGTCAGAAATTCATATTAAACTGGCTCATATACAAAATTGTGACTTTTAATCAATTCTTGCATGTTTACTAAGTGTATTCACTATATTTGCTTCCTCGTTGTCATCATTTTGGCGTGGAAAATGCTGAGTGAATTAGATAATTTCGAGTGCAAGTGTTTTATGGAAAAACCTATCTACATATTGGTATGCAATAGATTTGGGGTAATTTTTTCAGGTTGAAAGGAAAATATTGTCACCTTAATGATAGCATTGAGTTGCCACTTACTTCAGAAATAATGATTCATTCTGGTTGTCTTGAGATTTGTATCTCTTTCCTCTTGATGACTATATCTTTAATCAACCGTTTCTGCCCCACAATAATATACTTCTTTAAGCTCACTTTATTAATGGTGTATTGATCTGAAAAAGAGGTGAATGACACGCGAAACCTTACTCCTAGTTGCAAACCTGTACTTCTACCGTTCATTCATTCCTACGCATTTAGTCTGCTGACATACAGTTGTGATTTCAGAAGACTAATAAGATTATGAAAACGCTATCACATTCGTAATGTAGTTTACACTTTGGGCTTTTTAGGACGATACCGTTTTTTCTGTTGTCTTTTCATTTTTATTTGTCTTTTGCGTTCTTTTTTACTTAGCCACACTGGGTAGGTTCCATGTTCATTACACAGGATTTTTGGCAAGCTTTTGGGAACAACTAGAACGTTCAAATAAAGCATATTGTAATCTTACTATCCATGTGATTTGGAGTCGAATCAACCAACTGTTCGGAAGAGATTGGGGTTTCTTCACTTTTCTTGGTAGATTTTATTAACTGATCCTTGATTTTTTTAAAGCTCCGTCTACGTCTAATCGCACGAAATCGTCTTTTTGATTTACTTCGAATACTTTTGGTCATTATAGACAGATCCTTTGATTGCCAGGTGGTTCAAAAATGTATGTCACAACTTGAAACGAAGTTTTAGCTTGTTTCCTAGATAATTTGGGTATTATCAAGCTGACTGCGAAGGATAATTAGGTATTGAAATGGTCGGAATGTACTTGTTTAAGACGAATATCTGAAGAGAAAATGAAGAGTAAACTCAACACATACTACAAAACTGAGATGATGTGACAATCAACAAGAACTGATACAGTCATAAAATCAAATCTAGTACAGTTACTTCTCAGAAAAGAATTAAGGATATTTTATGCTATGTGAAGCATCATGGGAAACATTTATAATCAAGAACAACGAATATAGGAGTATGTGACAGTGAGAAGTGATTAGAACCGTGAGATAACATTTTCTTTATAGTATTTTTAATTATCTGGTCACATTCATTTCACTTTAACTATTTTTTTCTCGCCACAGTTTACATCATTTCTTAAACTCTGACTCACCCCCAAATGCCCTGGTACAGCCGAGAGTGGGCAGAGTACGCTCTCCCTCTCGAAATGCTCTCACATGGCCACGCGTATATAGCCTTCGTCAGGAAAGTCCTACTTACTGCCTTCTCGTGGCGGGGGTGTTGTCTACGAAAATGAGAGGACGAAAAGCGAATGTCCGACACTTTAACCGGATTCCAAACCAATGGTGCACATGGGCTCCATTATCCTGCGCGAACAAATGGCGTATGAACCAATCGTCGGTCACCGGCTTTCATGAAACTGCATCTCCTTACGATGCTCCACTGCCTTGTAGATCAGACCTTCAGGTCGAAGGCTCGGGGCGTGTCCCCCTAAGAAAACCACCTGCTTCGGTTTGGGCACCCGGGCAGTATCACAGCCCTCACAAATATCGAATGAAATTTGTGTGGCGCATATGTATTTGGTGCTTCCTTGTACCATTATCTATGTGTTAAAATAAATAAATAAAACCCTGACTCAGTTAATCTAACTTGAAATACTACATCACTGAACTAAAACTTTTATATTTAGTAACCCAAAACTTGCTACTCTGTTGAGCTTCAAATTAGCAGCAGAGGCAAAATTTTAAACCGTCAAACTAGGTTGCAGTAATTTTAGTTATACATTAGTCCTTGAATCTATATAACAAATGCGAATAACCCTAACAATATGAGATAGGCTTTTTGAATGTTCCAATTTTATATACTTAGGTATCAGTAACACTTATCACAGTCCGCACAAAAGAAAGATTATCACGGGAATCAGCATATCTGAAATAAACAAAGCACCCTCTCCTAGATATGAGTTTTGAGAATGCACTTTACGTAAGTGTTTTTTTTATTTCTACCCTACTTCTCCCAAGTATCACACTATTTTTGATACTTCTCACAGTGCATATGCACTGGTAAATTACAACAATTGGAAGCCTATTTGCCTCTAATAACACGAAACGTAAGAAATTGAAATAGATCATTATGGACAGAAACTTATAGAACCACCAAATATTATCTTTAAGTGGCGAAAGAAATACGCGCCTTGATGGATCACCAAGAGCTTTTGGCGAATAACTACATTTCAGGAAGTTTTGCCTCCAAAAGTTTACCGGTATCAAAATTTATAGGTTTCGTTAGGAGTTCATCAAGTGGTCGGTTTCTAAAACAGTTTTACTCAGAACGTCAATAGATATTCGGGCAGTAGATTTTCCATGAGTTGTTTTCATTACATTTGCTTGTCGTGCAAAATTAATATTAAAATGGTAAATATATAAATCTGTACATAAGGAGCTAACTGACCTTGGTGAAGTTTTCAACAAAATTACTTACACCAGGTCAAGTTCAAAGACGGAGAAAACTACTTTCTTAAATATTCGACAGTGATTATTTGATGTCAAGTACATAAATTTTGCTGGATTAAAGTTGACAAAATTTCTTATTCTGGCCAGGCTATATATATATAGATAGGTTTGCTGTAAATATATTTAGGTCAGAACTGACTTTAGTAGCAATTATAATTCTGTATGTCAGTAACGTGTAGAAACAAAATCAATTTGTGCTTTTGAGGACCAAAAATAAAAACAACAAGTTCCAAACAAATGTTCTGTGCAGTTGGAATCACATCCGCAAGATCCATATATACAACTGACCTGCAATTTTATTTAAGTGAGGAACCACCAACTTTTTTTCATTGTAAGGCCCTTGGCTAGAGTCAAATTACTATGATTTAAGAACGGAAAAGTGGTATACAATGCTCATCTAATAATTGAGACAAGACTACGGTGATGCTGGCCTTAAGCATGCTACGTAACGTACCGGACAAATTTAGCGGCAATAATAATAGACAAACAAAACGTTTCAGACAGAAAATGGGGACTGTTTTCTTGATACTATGTCTGTGTGGTAAGCGAGATAGTTTGATTATGGGGAAGCAAAGTCTTAGCTTTATGTCTTAACGAACGAAAAGATAAAGTATGATAATGCTCACGTTCTGCTTACGTCAGTACCAACGAAATAAAAGTAAACGTCGAGCTTTAGTTTGTAAAATTCATTACTACCTGATACCACTACACCTTTCGGGCGGAAATTCCAAAAACTACTGTTTCTCATCTGAAAAATTCACAGTGAAGTGGTCTTGTTTACAGAGGATTTGATGGTACTATCACCCAAGTGTTTTTTAACGAAGTGATTTCAAAACCAATTATTAAGTGAGCTAAGGATATTTGAGTGGAAATATATATTTGAACTAGTGTTAGATGCATCGTTCAGTATAACATTAAGACTGGATAGTTATCAGAGATGAGTCCCTTGGTATATTGAAACGCGATCCGGTGAAGAAATGTGGCTCGGTGCCATCAGCGGTGTTTCTTATATTACTGAAGTGCCACGCATTAGTTTCGGACACTTATATTATGTTGTTTTGTACATTACCTAATGTCTCAGCTCACTTTCTTCCTTATAAAATCAGATGGACCTTATGAACTGATAAACAAGGGGTTCAAAACCAAGTAGCTTGTCTTTGCCGAATACCCTGTTGATAGCTTTCTATTCTGAGGAGTATATAAGATATCTTATTACTATTAGTAAGTAAATACTAACAAATATCTAGGTTTTTCAAATTGTTCCTGGTTTTCTTCAGTTTTTACTGGTCTACTAAGAAGAAATTTAGGTGCCAATAGAGTTATGGCAACTCTCCGACGATCAAAGTCAATTGTGGTTAATTTTTATGAGATTATTTTATTGACTTTTTGAACAGGCCACGTTGTTCAGGCTGTAATATCTTTTTTTTCTTTTTGCTTTTATGACTACTATTTTGTCTGTATAAACTTTTACGCCTGATCGTAGGGCAGTCTACGCACATATTTCTCTAACTTAAATGTTGACAGCTTAAATATCGCTCAATAAATAATTCTCTTCCTCATCTGTAGACGTTCTTGAATCCTATTAATATCCCTTGCCTTGCTCTGCCCTTATTCCATTTGACTACAAATTTGCCTCTGTATTTGATCGTCACTCCGCTTCAAATCCGCTTGATGCGCTTGTAGATCTGTGGTCTGAGCTATCCGCAAACAAACTGTAGTTGCTGCTTGTCACTGCCTTTTGATTTCAAACACCGTTGGAATTTATGTAATAACAGTTGCGAAGGCGATTGATTAACGAAGCTGAGCCACTACAAAACAATTTCATGCTTATGCAGGTGTTAGCGATCAGTCCATTAGAAAGATGTTTAAATCCACATATGTTTACAACGATATGGTGTAGATTATACCTGCGAAACGGTTTTACCGGTTTTTTGACATTTTTGATATTTTTACACCTAATCTGTACAAGTTTTTGTGCGAATCCTTTCGTGTTTTGCCTCACTTTGATTTCCTCCCAGATGTAGTTTATTTCAGCACAGAATAACATAAATATTCTATTGCGACTAAGTTTAAGAACCTTATATATTGTATGAATAGGTCAAATCAGTGATAAAAGAACCGAAACAATCAAGATTACAATTGATCAGGAATTCAGCAGTCAGAATATAAAATTAAACGAAAAATAAAAGAAACAATTATTGAAATCTCTGTAACATTAAGGGGTTTGGTCAAAATTCACAACCTTAGATAATATAAAACCAATAATTGACAACGAACTCGGTGATGAACGTATTGTAGGTGAATTCATGGTGAAATACAAGGTTGTTATCTATAAAAAAAACAAAAAATACGGGGAATGTATGCACAAAAAAGTTTCCATACACATTAGCATTCAGCGACAAAACCTCTCTAGCTCCGCCTGGAACACTGGCTACTGCCGGTCCCAAGTCCGGATGAAGTAGGAGGGCTGAACGTGGGTTATTAACTCCATCCCATAGAAAACGGATTCATTTAAAAGCGCTTGTAGTAGGCGTTGGGTCACGGTTGACTATAATCACCACTGCCGACAGACTATGCGCCAGTTACCAGGTTAGATTCCTCGTAGGCTGAATATCAGAAAGCAGTTGAGGGTTGCAGTTATGATGTATTTGTTGGCGGTCTCGTGCCAAAATCTACAAGAGAGACTACATGGCGTACGAGAGTTTGTGCAAGGTCACAAAAATGGAGGAGGGTCTTTTGCATACCACTGGTACAGTTGGTTATAATAATAATTGTTTCCATCATATCATTCGCGTTCTCTTCACTACACACTAACCAGAAAAAGCAATTCAGACCATTTAAACTTTGCTATGGGAGTCAGAAAGTCTTCATTTAGTGGAATTATGATGCCTCATGATGAAAGCCATATTCCTTCGGAAGTCGCGAGGCCGATGACCTTTCTGACAACCATGGGAACTGTCGATTTAGATACATAGGATGCTCGTACAATGTAGGAGACCAGGAAATTCATACAAACTGCTGAAGAAATGAAAATATATGACCCGGAGGTGCTTGGATTCAGTGAAACACATTGTAAGCAGGTTGGAAAACAAAGACTAGCTTCAATGGATTTGCTGTTATATTCCGGCAATGAAGAAGAAAATGCTCCACATACACGGAGAGTTGCAGTAATGCTATTCAACCAAGCAGAAAAGCACTTATAAGTTGGGTGTCTCATGGAACCAGGACCATCAGGGCCTCCTTCAAAATAAAGACGTCATTACAACGAAAGTCATCCAATGCTATGCGCTTACCAACGACTACAATGAAGACGTTAAAGATCAATTCTACGATAGGCTGGAGGCAAGTGTCGAGAAATGCCCAACAAAGGGCGTGAACATTCCGACAGGGAACCTAAATGCCACGGTTGCGATGGACACAAACAGATATGAAGTCGTGGGGCGACGTGGACTAGTAGAAAGGAACGAAAATGATGAGAGGTTTGCGAACACATGTGTCTTCAATAAGCTGGTCAATGGCGGCACTATATTTCCACATAAACGCAAACATAAAGCCACATGGACTCCAACGGATCACACTACACAAATCGACCATATTTGCATCAATAAAAGGTTCAGGAGAATGATGAAGGATGTGAGAACAAAGAGGTGAGCTGGTATAGTGTCAGATCATCACTTGCTGGTTGCCAAGATGAAATTAAAACTCAAGAAACACTGGACAACTGGGCGGACAATATCACAAAAGTTTAATATGACTTTTCTTCGAGATTCCGACAAACTCAACAAGTTCAAGATAGCCCTCAGCAATAAGGTCCAGACCTTTCATGATCTACTCAATGGAGAAAGAACTACTATGAAAAGCAACTGGAAGGGGATCAAAGAAGCAATCACTTCAACATGCCATTAGGTTCTGGGCCACAAGGAGCACCATTACAAGGAATGAATTACTGTTGATATACTGGAAAAGACTCAAGAAAGGAGGAACAAGAAGGCAGTAATCAATACCAGTCGAACAAGAGCAGAAAAAGTCAAGGGACAAGCTGAATACACAGAAGTAAACAAGCAAGTGAATAGGATTATCAGAAGGGACAAACGTAAATATGTGGAAGATTTAGCAACGACGGTGGAAAGGCTGCAAGAGAAGGAAACATGAGACAACTGTATGACATACATAACAAAGAAACTCTCTGGAAATTATCGTAAATCAGAACGACCAGTGAAAAGCAAGAAGGCAATATAATCACCGACATTGCATAACAGCGAAACAGGTGGGTAGAGCACTTCGAAGAACTCTTGAGTCGACCAGCCCCACTAAATTCCCCAACGTCGATTCTGCACCCACAGACCTCCTAATCGATATTGTATTGCCAACAATTGAAGAGATCAGCATGACTATCAGACAAATCAAGATCTGCAAAGAAGCGGGACCAATTGATATTCCAGCAGAGGCACTGAAAGCAGACGTAGCAGTAACTGCAAAAATAATCTACATTCTCTTCAGCAAGATATGGGATGAAGAACAAGTACTAGTAGACTGGAAAGTAGGATACTTGATCAAGCTACCGAAGAAACGCTATATCAGAAAGTGTGAGAACTAAAGAGGCATCACTCTCCTTTTAATACCAGGAAACATCGTCAACAGTGTATTGTTAAACAGAATGAGGAACTCCTCAGACACCCATCTTCGAGACCAACAGGCTGGATTCCATAAGGACAGATCCTGTACAGACCAAATCGCAACACTACGGATCGAATGGATTATGAAGACGTCAACATCTGGGGAGAAGCATGGGATACACTGGACAACTAGGATGCAGTTTGACGATGTAAACTTCACAGATGATATGGCTCTTCTATCGCACAAGCAAAAACAAGTGCAGGAGAAGACGACCAATGTAGAAGCAGCATCAACAGCAGTAGGTCTCAACATACACAAAGGGAAAATAAAGATTCTCCGATACAACACAACATGCACCAACCCAGTCACAATTGACAGAGAAGCTTTGGAGGATGTAAAAACCTTTGCATATTTGGGCAGCAACATTGATGAGCACGGTTGATCTAATGCAGATGTGAATGCGCAAAGCAAGAGCAGCATATCTACAAGTGATGAACATCCGGGACTCAAAACAACTGTCAACCAACACCAAGGTCAGAATTTTCGATGCAAACGTCAAGACAGTTCTACTGTATGGGGCGGAAACCTGGAGAACTACGAAAGCCATCATCCAGAAGATACAAGTGTTTATTAACAGCTGTCTACGCAAAATACTTAGGATCCATTGGCAAGACACTATTAGCAACAAACTACTGTGGGAGAGAACAAGTCAAGTTTCATTGCAGGAAGAAGCACTGGAAGTGGATAGGATACACGTTGAGGAAAGCACCCAACTGCATCACAAGACAAGCCCTCACTCGCAATCCACATGGCCATTGGGGGAGAGGAAGACCAAAGAACACATTACGTCAAGAAAT